CTGGGACCCCCACAGCGACTTCGTGCGGCGCTTCCTGCGCTCCCAAAAAGCCGTCCTGTTCCTGGGAATGAACCCGGGGCCCTTCGGGATGGCCCAGACCGGGGTGGGTGGGGGCCAGCGGGGCCGGGGGGGCCCGGTTCATGTTGGGGGGGGTCTCAAAGGAGGGAAACTGAGGCACTGAGGGGGTGTTTGGGGGTCCCAGTCCATCCCATAGGACCCCAGAGGAGGGAAACTGGGGGACCCCGGGGTGTTGGAGGGTGCCCAGGGGGTCCCAGTCCATCCCGGGGGGTCTCAAAGGAGGGAAACTGAGGCACTGAGGGGGTGTTTGGGGGTCCCAGTCCATCCCATAGGACCCCAGAGGAGGGAAACTGGGGCACCCGGGGGGGTGGAGGGTGCCCAGGGGGTCCCAGGCGTAGTCCAGGGGGTCTCAAAGGAGGGAAACTGAGGCACTGGGGGGTCTTTGGGGGTGTCTGAGGGATCCCAGTCCACCCTTTGGGGGCTCAGGGGGTCCCAGTCCATCCTGGGGGGGCTCAGAGGAGGGAAACTGAGGCACTGGGGGGGGCCCAGAGGGTCCCAATCCTCCCCATGGCGGCTCTGGGGGTCCCAATTTGCCCCGTGGGGGCTCAGGGGGTCCCAGTCCATCCTGGGGGGGCTCAAATGAGGGAAACTGAGGCACTGGGGGGGGCCCAGAGGGTCCCAATCCTCCCATGGGGGCTCAGGGGGTCCCAATTCACCCTGTGGGAGCTCTGGGGGTCCCAGTCCTCCCCGTGGGGGCTCAGGGGGTCCCAGTCCATCCCAGGGGGTCTCAAAGGAGGGAAACTGAGGCACTGGGGGTTCTTTGGGGGTGTCCAAGGGATCCCAATCCATCCCGTGGGAGCTCTGGGGGTCCCAGTCCATCCCATGGGGGCCCCAAATGAGGGCAGCTGATGCACTGGAGGGGCTCGGGGATGCCCGGGATGGGAGTGGGGGGGTCCCAATCCATCCCATACCCGGAGGAGCTGCTCGGGGTGGGGGGTGTCCCCCCTAAATCCCGCCCCCCCCCTCGCCCCTCAGGTGCCCTTCGGCGAGGCGTGGCACGTCCGCGAGTGGCTGCGGGTGCGGGGGGAGGTCCGCAAGCCCCCCCTGGAGCACCCCAAGCGGCCCGTGCTGGGGCTGCGCTGCCCGCGGGCCGAGGTGAGCGGCGCCCGCTTTTGGGGGCTCGTGCGGAGCCTGTGCCCGGACCCGCGGCGCTTCTTCCGCCACTGCTTCGTGCACAACCTGTGCCCCCTCCTCTTCCTCGCCGGCAGCGGCCGCAACGTGCCCCCCCCGGAGCTGGGGGGGCCGCAGCGGGAGCGGCTGCTGGGGGCGTGCGGGGCGGCGCTGGCGGGGGTCGTGCGGGCGCTGCGGGTGCGGCTCGTGGTGGCCCTGGGGCGAGTGGCCGAGCTGCGGGCGCGCCGGGCGCTCGCCGGGGCCGGGCTGGGGGTGCCGGTGCGGGGGATCCCCCACCCCTCGCCGCGGAACCCCCGCGCCAACCAGGGCTGGGAGGGGGCGGCCCGGGAGCGGCTGCGGGAGTTGGGGGTGCTGCGGCTCTTGGGGTTGCGGGAGGAGGGGGGGGGC